AATATTTGTAAGAGATTGTATTAGCATTGCATGGATCAGTAGGAAATTTTGTTGGAGGGATTTTCATCATTTTTTCAGAGGAAAAAAAACTAAGTATTGTGCTCTTTATTATCTTGTAATTGTTGTAAATACTTATCTAGTGGATTTGCTTTGATTTAGTGATGCTTTCTGTTGTGTGTGACACCTAATTTGCAAAGTAGAATTCTTATATTTTCTTTTGCAATGAATTGGATGAATGTTTAGGATGTTAGGATGCATGTTATAATATGTTTTTCATATCATAGTGATGGTTCTTACTTCATGCTTTATTTACTAATCAATCTAGTCAATTGGTATGCTCAAATTTTTTGTAAACCCATAAGTTTCGGGAGGGCTATGGCTTTAACAACTAGGAGGAACCAAGTTGAGCTTATGGATAAAGAAAAAGTAGTCATAAGATTCAGTGCAATGGTAGGGAGATATTCGTTGATGGGTGCAAACTGGTGTTTCTAGGGTGACAGACTAGATTCCTAACCAATTTGATCTAAGGTTTCGTACCTTAAATTTAAGATTAAGCCAATTAGAGGGCTATTAGGAGAAGGAGACTCCAGGGTGACAAGTGACCCGACCCGCAATTACACAGTAAGTTAGCTTTCAAAAGTTGACAAAAAACTTGACCCAATTTATATTTAGCGGCTAGTGTTCAAAATTGAAATTTTATGAAATTTAGAAAACGGTTTACACAATAGGGGTACTGTGCAAGTATACGTATCGTTTAAAGTAATATAGAATTTTCTTTAAATACCCCAGTATCGATCCCACAAAGAAGCAGGGTAAGAATTCACTTAGGCTAATTCTATTCTACTACTATTAGGTCTTAGTTTGGAATTTTTGAAAACTTTGATTTTCCTAAATTTACTAATTTTACGCTAAAATTATAATTAACGAAATTAAATAAAGACTGACTTTAAGGAGACTTGTTAAATTTTGGAAAGATATTAAATAATTAAAATCTCTTTCCCCTTGCGAGGAGATCATAATTAGTGTAGGAATATAATGTTTAAAAATCAAATGTGGTTCTGTGATAAATAGGAGCAATCCTATTATTTATCCTCTTTAAGAGCGACAAAGAACATTAGCTAATCCAAAGTTTAGTCCCTAAATTTGTGGTTAGACTGGAAAGATACTAACTCTCACTCCAGAGTTCTCACATTCCCCTCGCCTAAGGGCTAACATCTCTCTTTAGTTTCCAAAGCCTGGACCAAATTGATGATTTTAGTCTGTCACTCTAAAATCTTCAATTCTACGTCCATCAAGTATATTTTCCTATTAATTTGCACTCAACCCCATGGACTACATTCTCATCCATGAAATCAAATGTGCTTCTTACTTAGTTGTAGAAAACATAGCCCTCTTGAATCGTATGTTTTACAATAAATTTTAACAAATCAATTGGTCAGATTGATAAGTAAATGAAGATCGAAGTTTGAATCATCACAATTTATGGAATTTTAAGAGCACTTCTACTAAACTACATTCCTACACCTAATTAATTCTCATCACAAGGAGAAAGAGCAAGGAAAAACAACTCAATAAGCATGGAGAAAACACATGGATTTTTCATTGCAAATGACATTGAAAAACACAACTTTATTGCAGTAATTTAAAGCAAATACAAAAAAGAGTCCAAAACTTATCTTTACAGAAGATTCACGTCTTTCTTGCAAAGCAAATAACAAACCTTACACTTCTTCCAACGTTCCAAAAGCCACCAAGACTCCACAAGAGACTTCACCTCTTACACACACACACACACACACACACACACACACACACACACCACCTTGAAGAAGCACGCCTAACTCCTATCTGAATCTCTCCTAAACTCTTCTCTAGACTCCTTTCATGAGAGGCACCAAGCCCCTCTTTTTAAAGAAACACAAAACACATCTTCACTCTAAGAGACACAACTCTTCACTCTAAGAGACACACCTCTTTACTCCAAAAGAGACATCTCTTCATCCAAGAGCCTTTCCAAGTGTCTAGATTCATTGAACCACTCCATGGGGTGTGCAAGTTGTTTAGAATCTTCCATAACATTCCAGAATAGCCCAAAATCGCAAAAAAATTGTCCCTTAATCGTTTCTGGCGCCTAGACGCCACCCTGCAAGAAGCTCCACTGTTTTGTCTTGTTTCGCTCCGTTTCAGCTTCATTTCGTCCCGTTTCAGCTCTGTTTCGCGCTTAATTGTTATTCCTACAAGATAAGCATGAAAACAACATTTCTTTAAAATATAATTTCATTTTAAAATATTTGATAAATGTAAAAGAGATTAAGCATAAAAAGACATCGAAATGTGTCAGGTCAAAATTTTCTCCTTGCTCGTTTTGGCTCCAAATTACATCATTTTTGCTTCCTTTGCTTAACTTCATTTCTTGTATCTGAAACAAAAAACATGCAAAATATCTGCCTTTAAAGTACAATATCATTAAAAATAAGCCTAAAATATATACACACACACACATATATGTGTGTGTATATATATATATATATATAAATCGGCTAGAATTGTCACCGTGATAATCTTAGTTATTTTAAGGAATCGACCCTAGATTAACTGAGCCATGTTATACACTCGGAAGAGGATAACTTAGATTTTTGCTCCTATTATCACTGGCGACATTAGATTCTAAACATCTCATTCCTTCACATTATCTAGGTCACCACAAGAGAATGGTAGTTCTTACACCTCAATATTCACCAAATCAATTTATCTAGTTAGGTTTAACTTTAGATTTAGGTTTGTATTTAGGAATAGTAGTTAGAAAAACACCCTTAGTTGACATTCTAAACTAAGACGTCACAATAGTATACTAGAACTTAGCCAAAGTGATTTCTTACCTCGCTTCCCTGTGGGATCGATAATCGGGACTCCATTAGAGTCTTATATTACTTGAACGATGTGTATACTTGTGTAGAACCCCTAGTGTGCAAACTATAAATCAAATTTTGGACTCTATAACATATCCATTTGACACACTAGCCGCCTAAAGAAACTTTGTCAAATCTTTTGTCAGGAAACTAAATAACTGCGTGACTATGGATCGGGTCAGACTTACATTGTCTACCTGCACCAAAAGCGGAAAACTCTGACCACAATCAAATTGATGAGGCTAATCATCCTCCGCTATATATAGCCCAATGCCAGAATTGGAGAAAGCTCCATCATATAGCTGTCAAATGTTGGCAGAGATCTAATTTCAATTATCCCTCTCCAACACAAGCTCTCACTGCTCGATCAACAACCAATGCACCATCCTAGATTCTAGGCTTAGGGGCCTCATCTTATCTCACTACCAACATTAAAAATATTCAATCTCCCACATTGTATGAGGGCTCAGACCAAGTCGTTGGTGACAAAAGGTCCACTCTCTCCATTATCAATTCCAGCACCGGAATACTAACCACCCCATACCTTAAGCTTCTACTTGCAAACTTCATGTTCCTTATATCTCTCACAACCTACCATCTATTAAAAAATTAGCTTCTGATAAAATTTCCACATCTCTTTTAAGGTCTATAACTTTTAAATCAAGGATCTGAACACTTATCAAATACTACTCATGGCAAAAGTAGCAATGGCATATCTTCCATCTCCAAATCAACCACTTCAACTTCCACCAGCTGCTTCATCTTTAGAACAGTACACTTCAACCTTTGGCACCTACGACTTGGGCATTCGAACAAAGTCACGCTCTCTTCCATTTTTGCCTAGGACGAATAATTAGACATTCCTTGTAGTCCTAAGTCTTGACATCATTTTTACTCGACTAAAATTCATAGATTACCATTTTCTTTTACCAAATCACATATGTACAAACCTCTTGAATTAAGACATTTTGATATCTAGAGACTCTCCTTCACTCTCTCAATAATGATAAAAATAATGTCTCATTTGTCAATAATGTTACTCGCTCTTTTGTTGGGTATTTCCCATTATTCAAAAATCTGATATGCCAATATCTTCTTTAGAAACGTTGTCAGCCCCCATTTTGCGAAAACCATTAAAATTCTCCGGACAACTGACAACTACGAATACAACAATAACCTTCTCTTGCAATTTCTCCAAACCCATGACATCCTCCATCAAATGACCTGTCCCTATACACTGGAGCATAACGGGGTTATTGAATGTAAGCATTATCACCTAATTGAGATTACACAAGCCTTACTTCTACACAACCATCTATCATAGAAGTTTTGTCTCAAAGCACTTCTCACAGACACATACCTCATCAATCTCCTTCCATCTAAAAAAAGAAAAAACCTCCTATCCTAAAATACCAAGCACAAATTACCATATCAACTACTCTACCGATGACCTCTAGACTACTTCCATTTGAAATCATTTGGCCGTGCATGCTTTCCCTTGCTCATACATCAGACAGCTCACAAACTTGCACCAAAATTTGAACCTTCAATTTTCCTCGACTACTCCTGCTCTCACAAAGGTTATAAATTCTATCAACCTTCCGCACGCAAAATAACAACCTCCCATCATGTTCTTTCTGAAATGCTGAACAGAGGAAATCTCCATGTTGCAACATATAACCCCCTTCAAACATCTCATTCCCACCTTTCACGATGCCTACTCACAAATTCAGCAATCAACCACTGTACCCCACCCTTATAAGCAACTACATCTCTTTAACCCGCCTCGGCTCAGCATCCACCACGTAAGCCTCCTCTTCTGGAATTAACCTCGCCAGCTCCAATGCACTCTGCTCTTACTATCACAAAAATTCCACCAAAACACGCTATGATTAAAAGCCTTCAATCCGGACACCTAAAGCCAATGCAAATATTCAAGCTATCCCATTTGAAATATTTTGGATCGCATGATTCATATTGTTTTGTTACCTTAGCCACTACTTTTACTAAGAGAAAGATGCGCGTAAACATTACATTATTCAAGAAACCTAAGCATATTTTTGCAGTGTTAATAGCTTCTTCTGTTAACAGGCATGCATAGATCCCAGTTTCAAAGGGTCACTCTTATCATTGGTCGATAGGGGTTTTATATACGCAATAGCTCACATCCGTGGAGGTGGCGAAATGGGAAGAAAGTGGTATGAAGATGGAAAATTGCTGAAGAAAATAAATACTTTTACTGATTTCATTGCCTCTGCAGAATATTTGATCGAAAATAAATATTGCTCAAGAGAAAAGCTTTCAATCAATGGAAGAAGTGCTGGAGGCCTATTGATTGGTGCTGTGCTAAATATGCGCCCTGATTTGTTCAAGGCAGCTGTTGCTATGGTTCCTTTTGTTGATGTGGTCACAACAATGCTTGATCCAACAATCCCATTGACTACTTCAGAGTGGGAGGTAACTTTTTTACCAAATTTCGTTCATATATTTAATTCAAATTATATTTAGGGGAATTCGCATACACAGCACACAATTCTTGTGTATTTACATAGTACACTCCTAAACTTTCATTTCTACAGGCATAGCACTCAAATTTTTAATATCACATCTAAAATAGCACTATCATCACTTTTTAAAAATGAAATCCACTGTTTTCATGAATATGTTTAAAGCACCAAAGTGCTATGCATGTAAATATGAAATTTTAAATGTGAGATTTATGGTACATAAAAATTGTGTGCTGCTTATGTAAATTTAAGATTACTCTCTCTTTCAAGGATAAGTTAACAATTCTTCGGGAGATGCTTACCTATAGTTCCCAGGCTTTCTAATTTGCTAGATTTTCATTGTAATGTAATTTTTTTTAAGCAATGACATTCATCCCCAGTATTTATTGTCAAATTCTACGATTTTTTTTGTTTATCTAATTGTTTTTTTTTTTTTTTTTGAATTTTTGATGTAGGAATGGGGTGATCCTCGGAAGAGAGAATACTACTATTACATGAAATCATATTCTCCTTTTGATAATGTGAGTACCTGTATGGATTTTGTACTGAGTTTGAAGAATTTTATTCTTCCTATGTATCTGTTTGCTCCAATGACTATTTTATTGATGTTTCTTTTGTTAAAATCTGTTATTACAAAAATTTTACTACTAATTGTGATCTCGTTTCCCCTAAATACTTGCTAGTTGTTTCTATGTTTCTTTTCTGTTTGGCTGCTAATTATTTTTTTGGTTTCATTGTCCTTATTTTCACTCAACTTTAGCTTAACATGCCTTGTAAGCTACCATCGAAGAACTTAAAAAACTGTGTATCTTAAGATTAAATTTTGATATTTATTTACAGCAAAATATGCAGAGGTAGTTGGTGTTAGGGAATGTGGACCAATGATAATAAAAAGTTGAGCTTGATATGCTAGTTGTTAAATTCATTTTCAACTCAAAAGTTTAAGCCTATAAGATTGGGCCAGCGTTTTGCTAATTTTACTGAATATGATTTTTAACTATCGGATTTGAAACTATATAAAGTAATTTAACGTGCCTTGACGATATCTTTCTCATATAAGAGATCTTTATATTGCCTATCACTTTCCTTCAAATGGAACCTTTTTCAACATCATCAAATATCATGCATTAAGAACCTTTTCCACAATTTGGATCTATTGCAAGAATAACCTGCAATAGAAAATAATAGAGACCCATGCGAGGACATGTGAGCCAAAAGGGGATCTATTTTCAATTGATAAAGTAGTTGTTAGATTTGCTTTCAGCTAGAATGCTTAAGTCTAAGAGAGAGGACCGACCACTCAGAATTTCTACACCGACAAATTTTACCATTTTCAGATGAGAGACTAAAGGTTAGTTTGTGGGGCAGCTTTCTCACTGCTTTTCTTTTCAATTTGCAGTTATACCTCTATTTAGTTACTATTTTCTTTCGGCTTTTCAGAAATGTTTGTGTGGGAATCTCTTTTTTATAATTAGACATGCTAAATATGATATTTGTGAAAAAACTGTTATCCGACTTTTTCTTAAAAAAATAGTGAAAACATTTAAAATATCTACACCATCTTTAAAGAATTTGATTTCCGCACAATAGCTTTACAATCACGTTTATAAATGTTGAAGTTCCACATATACCAAATCCCTCACAGATTTTAATAGATTATCTCTTTCTCCAATTTCCACATACTTTTCAATAAATCTGAACCGATTAACCTGCTTCCATGCTACAAGACATATGAAGTGGCTCTCGTGTACATAAATTCAAGTTATTAACGCTAAATTAAGATCACATGTACTGTTTATAGGTACGGGCGCAAAACTACCCCAATATTCTTGTTACTGCTGGATTGAATGGTATGCTCAACATTTTATCTTCAATATATGTTACATTGGCTATTTGTAGCTTCATCTTAATTCTCTTAATTTTGAAAATGAAACGGCAGACCCCCGTGTTTTGTACTCCGAACCTGCTAAATTTGTGGCAAAATTAAGAGCAACAAAGACTGATGATAATATGCTTCTGTTTAAATGTGAACTTGGTGCTGGACACTTCTCAAAATCAGGAAGGTAATTCTTTTATTTGGACCGCATTATTTTATTCATGTTATTGATATACTAAAATGTTCACATTTATGTGTATACAATTACTAGGGGCTCATTTTGTTGTTTGTAGTGTAGATAGAATATGTGCTTTATGAAGTTCTGATTTTATTTTCATTCATTTTGAGTTTTAAAATGCAATCATCATTAACATTCATATTGTTTTCTAACTAAATCCATCCAACTGTTGGAATCTAATAAAGTTGTCTGTTTTGAAAACAATTTTTTTTCTCATTTCAAGCAACCAAATTAGTCCTCAGAAGTAATAAAACATGTGTTTCGGATGAGAAAGCTTGTTAAAACAGTGGCGAGCTTTTTTATTTATTTATTTTCAAAAGTACTGATTTAATGAAGCTGCTTGACATGCTGATCTCATTTTTATTTAGTTCAGCATGTTTGGTTGTTATTGGTAAATTTATTGATGCATGACTTTACCTTATCAGCATATCTAATTTTTCTTAAAAAGAAATAAAGAAAAACGAATAAAATTAAATAAATAAATAATCTTTCATTCACATAAGTTTGCTAAAACCAAAAAAACATTTAATTCTTAATCTCAGTTTTGGTTTCTTTCAAAGCTTTAACATGAGATTAATTGAGCTTTTTTTCTTGGTGAGTGTAGATTTGAGAAGCTGCGGGAAGATGCATTGACTTATGCTTTCATACTGAAGGCACTGGATTTAGTTCCACATGCTTCCTCCTAGTTAAGCTATTTCTGGGCCTTTCTTTTTTCTGAACATGCCTTTCACGCATTTCTATATTTGAGCATCTGTGTTTAATTTATTTCCCATATTTGTCCATCTGCTGCATGGTATCCATCCTATTGAGTTGCCTACGGTTGAAACAACAATTATGTATATTTGGACGGTTGGGATAAAATATTTCAATGTTTGTTGGGTTTGTTAAGTATAGGTTTTCTGTGGTGTGGATTGTTGAAATATGCTTTCAATGTTTTTCAGTAGATGAATGTTTTAAAGATGGGTAAGATAGTCTAACATATTTTTTTTTGTTTTCTAATTGTTGTGTTAAAAATGCACTGAGAGAATGAAAATAAGTGGTTTCTTATTTATCAATGACACTATGATGGGCGGCGACATCTAATAGTATTTCGTCTCTTCTAGGGCTTATTTGACAATTTCGATCCCATATAAATCAATTATTATTTTTCATTGAAGTGGTAGAAGGTTGACTTCGCTCCATAAGTAATGAAACATTCAAGGAATGCTAGTCTCTCATAAAATGATCTTAATTGAGGGAGGATTGAATGATGCTTTAATTTTGGAAGGGCCAATATCTATACCATGAGTTTAATTATGAACTTAGGGAATCTTTGAGAGGAAATGACAATGGTGTACAAGGCATTTAAACATGCTTTTAACATCTTAGAAGTGATCTCTCAGGCTTTACACTTGACAATCAAATCATCGATATGAAACTCGACTTGCTTACTGATAAGAGCATTAAAGATATTGGCCAATAGCTCTTTTATACATTGCTCTGCCATTCTTAAGTTAGAATGGCATCGCCTTATAACACTACATGTTTATGGGTCACTAAATCACTAGTATGCTTCCCAAAGTGTAAACCATTTTATTTTTATTCAGTTTAGTATGGCCTCTAATCTTAATAGAATCTAGTCCATCTGTTTTTTTTTTCTTCTCAATATGTTATCATTAGATTGATTCAATTGGTCAGTCTCAATGGTTTCAAATATTATGCTACACTCATCTCTTGAATTAGATTCTAAGCGAACACAAATAGAGCATGAAAGCATCCCAAGTGAAAGAAGTGGAGGTATCGTCGCATTTTACCTTATTGTTTATGCCTCTATATTCCTTTCTTATTATTTCTTTTCCTTGCTAGGCTATCCTTTCAGTTGGATGTGTAAGATTGGGAGAAGGTTAATCGAGGCATTGCTCATTTGATATATTTCCTTATGCTTTAACATGTGGAAGAAAATATTGTCTCAGAAATGGTCTTGTAGCTCATAACGTGATGAATATAAATTTGTTTCATGTCACCTTGCAGTATTACACACCATTCCTTCTATATTTGTTATTTTGTCAAGTGTTGGCTCAAAATAATGGTCTCTACTTTATATTCATGAATACTAGGTCTATGTAAGAGGCACTAAATGATATATCTTGAATAATACAAAAAATCACTTTAGTTATAAGATCATCAATCTAAAGTGGAATTGCAATATAAATTAGAGTCTTCTTACCCTCTTCATTAAAACATTACAATAAAAACTTATCAAAACATAAGATTAACTTGTTATTTTTAGACAGACTAAAGTGTTTAGCTTCATTACATTAACCAAGCCGCTAAGATAAACTAATATTCTATTTATTATGAAGTCATTGACATAAATAATTAGAAAAATGGACATTAAAACCATAAATGCTTAAATGTAAATATTATACATATTGTTATTTTAGGAATTTATGCAATATAACTTGTACTTGGCCTAAAGGTGCCTGTCATAAAAGCACCATAAATACTAAATTTTTTTTAAAGGATTTCCGATATAAGATATAATGTTATACTCATCTTTAGTATGATAAGGCTCATCATATCTTGTGACCCTTTGGGAGCCCTGCATAACTCAATCGATATGAAGTTGAATTTATAACATCTTAACAAAGATAATTCTAGTATGGCCTTTTATTTTTTCTTACTTTGGAAAATCTTATAGTTTGAGTTTCTTTAAGATTATAGACTTTTGAGGATTACTTGCCCATAAACTTATATCATCATTACAATGCTTTTTGGCACATGGCTCAACAAAATAAGTATATCTTTTTCACCGATGGTTGTGTGCCCGCGCGCGTCTATATATATATTATATAACTATGTAGGCGCAGTCAAAATTATTCATTAATTAATTTTCTTAGTGCTACAAGAAGTGGTCTTATAAAGTAGAGTAAACATATTTCTCTTTCATTGTTTACAATTTTTCTTAGAAACATTTTTACCCTTATATTTCTACTTTGCTATGCTATCTTACACTTTTATCTACTTTATCATGATATCCTTTTTTTGGGAGGCTTGAGCAATTCAAATACCTTACCTTTCATAAAGATTTTAAAAAAGAGAGACCATCATTAGATTCGCTTTTTTGCGCTCAATGAGTCTTGTTTTTATGATATGTGGTATGGGCTAATAGAATGATCATCTTCTTCAATTGTAGTGAGAGGACGATCTATCACTCTTTTTTAGAGCCTAAAGGCACATGAGAGAGAAATAAAAATAATAGATATATTCTTGAAGAAGATAGTTAAAACCTTAGTTACCCTTATTTAGGATCAACCAAGAAACTATCTAAAATTGTGATTCCACCATATTGAATGCAATTTCTCAAGTTATTTCTCAATAGGGTAGTAATCCTCAATAATTTATCCATACATCTTATGATTTAGGCCATGGTTGGGATGGTCCCTTCTGCAACATATCTGAATCTAGATCATTTAAACACACTCATTATTGAAGGGATATGCCTATTCAGAAGCTCAATGAAGTTATTATGTCATTCATTTTGCTCTTTAGGTTGTGGGTTGGGTTGGTTATTTCTTTCTTTTTTAAATCATAGTATTTTACTTTGTATGAACTATAGGCTTTCTTATGTTGAGCCCTTTATATATATATTAATTTTTGTTTTCAAATGCCACATCAATGAAATAATCGCCTTCAAATAATAGTGTTGAATCCTCTTAGAACTTTAGGCCACATATTGTACGTGAGTTCACACAACCCGGGAGAAATTTGTGTAAGGAGGGTGAAGGATGAGAATTGATTTGTTCACTAGGTTGTAGCAATATTTACCTACAATGATCCTTCCTCGAAAGATTGGAGAACATGATATAACAAGCAATAAAGAATGAGAGAGGAAGTAAGAGAGACTTAGAGTTACAACGTGAAACTCCGAAAAAGTCCTTGAGAGAGTGTCCAACTGCCCCCCTCCTTGGATCTCTCTTACTTATATTTATACATGTTCATAAAAAAATATTAAAATAGGACCCGTGGTGTATAAAAATTTGTCCGCTATGTCTTGATGAAAATATTACGACGTGGATGTCAGACGGCTCATAAATGGGGATGTGGTATATGTCGATCTTAACTTTTCGCATTATGTCAATTACGAGGATCATTGCTGAAGCAAGCTTGACAAATGATTATAATGGGTCAGTCCGCTATAAGAATCCATCATGTCAGTTTGCCAGGTCAATCCGCCAGGTCAGTCCCCATAGTCAATCTGTTAGGTCAGCTTGGTAGATGGTACATGCAGCTATCACATCGACAAGTGGGGTCAACCAGTCACATTAATAGATTATTCTAGTGGTGGTTGTATCTTTTGAATAGATGGGCTTATCAGACCTATAAGGCCTACCATACATGTTCTTTGGATAAAAAAAATGATTTTTGGTATTTAATAGAAATTAAGACACCCACCTTAGAAATTGGATGTATTGCTCAAGGCTTTTAGAACATTTTCATTAAAAAAATACTTGAGCAAAGAGTGATGGCCCATGGATATTCCTCAGAATAATCTTACTAATATTGCTTCCATAATTAGGGCTTGTATGCCCAATTAAGATTTTTTTTATTTATCTTAAGATGTTATTTGTTAGATATTAGTTTGATTTTTTACTTTACTAGAATTAGATATTTATTTATAATTTGGTATTGCATTCCCACAAATCTGTTAAAAAGAAATGATGTATATGAAACTTGATCGATCTAGAAGTGTTCTTTGGTGGTGAAAAAAAATCTCTTTTGAACTTTATTAAATGGTCAAATAATCACATATCTTCAATTAGAATAATTTAAAGAATCACATATCTTCTTTAAGGGTTATATAACCATGGATTGATTGGTTACTTTCAACATTTATGTTGACTTTTTATTTTTTTGTAAAATTTAGGCATATTATATGATTTGATGGATTTTTACCTATCTAGTTTATATATTTTGCTAAAATTAATTTTTTTTTAGAGGTTTTTCTCAAACAAATTTAAATCATAATTTTTTTAAAAAAAATTAATTTATTATAATCGAAAGAAATCTATTTAAAATGACTCGATAAAAAAAAAACTCTACTGTAAAAGCAGTTTATACCCTCTTAATATTAATCGATCCATCTCTGAATAAAATATAAAAAATATATATTTTAAAAAAATTAAATTCAATTTCTACTGTAAAAGCATGAACATTTCTTACATGTAAGGGGTCAATTTATAATCAATATATTTTTAAAAAATTAAAACTTAATTTTTTTAATGATAATATCATATACCGGAAGGGGTAGAATTGCAATATTTTCTAAAAGTTATACTTAAGTACAAATTTACAAGACTCATTATTCTTGATAACTTCTCAAAATCTATCTATTATGTTATGGATGTCAATATGATGTTAGATATGATTTTTTATTTCTTGAATTATACTATATTGTGATGTGAGTGTTGTATTCTATTTTTATTTAAAATAAATATTTTAATTAAAATAAATTTTCATACACATTTATCTAAAAAATAGACAGTGAGTATATTTCTAAAATTTATAATTATATTTGCTATAAAGCATATATAGTCATTTTGTTAAAGAGACAAAATATAATAATCTTCTTTAGAGCTAAATATTTTATATTTAAAGTGCAAAGTAATTAGTTTAATAGCATAGTGCTTTTCTTAATTACGCGGACCTAAGATTAAAGATTTACACATATACCTCTTAATTTCTATGTATTTACACATCTAACATCTAAACTTCAATTTGTATAAATATGCAACCCTATTTATACATGGAAAATGTATATTTCACTCTCTATAATTTAAAATAATGGTATTTTGATGTGATATGAAAGATTTGGATGACAAAAATATAACATGTAAAGTGAAAATGTTAAAATTGTAAATATATAAGAATTGAGTGGTATGTATGTAAATGTTTTTTTTTTTTTTCTTTTCATATTTCTTTCTGTTATATGAAATAGAAATCTATATAGCTGTGGGTTCTGCTTTCTTTCTCCGCCCATACTCCTTCCACGTGCTAACTGTTCCCACTTTCGGTCGATTTTCTGAATAAAAAACTTGTTTTTTCCATTTTCTTCGGTTCCTCTCCTCGAAAATTTCGTTCAATCTGAGTTCGCTCCCTCCACAGCTGATGGAGAATCTCACATCCTGGTTTGTTGTCTTCCCCGCCCTCCTCATTTTTCTGTTGATTAGGGTTTTTTTTTGGTTTTTCCCGTTAGGTTTCATGCGTGGCATTAGGTTAGTCGAAACTACAAAGAAATCATCATTTCCAAGGCTTTTGTTTCTGAAATCTATTCACTATTTTGAATCTGTAAAATGTAAAATAATTGCTAGTTTTTTCTCAGGCAAGATCTTTGCGCGGCGCCATTGGATAGATATTACAAAATCGATAAACATGAGAAGCAACTTGAAGGCTGCATTTTTCGTGATGATTAACGTCTTTTCTTTTGTTGAATATGGTTGAATTTTTCCTAGAGTTTAGCATCCCATCATTCAGCTTAAAAAATTGCCTGTTTTTTTTTCATATATATATATATATATATATATATGAAAAAAAACAG